GGATGTACTCAAGGAATTCCACAATGGTCCTAGTGGAGGGCACCTGGGAATCACGAAGACCCTGGAGAAGGTTAAGCAGAGGTTCTATTGGGTTGGTTGTCGGCAATCGGTCGCAGAGTGGATTGCTAACTGCGCGGAGTGTATTGCAGCTAAGGGGCCGAAATCCAGAAGTCATGGCCAGATGAAGCAATATAACTCAGGTGCACCTTTCGAGCGGATTGCCATGGATGTAGCCGGTCCATTTCCTATGAGCGCACAGGGAAACAAATACGTCCTTGTGGTTATGGACTACTTTAGCAAATGGCCGGAGGTATACCCGATTCCAAACCAGGAAGCTAAAACAGTAGCGGAGGTATTCACCTACAATTGGGTTGCGAGATACGGGGTACCTATAGAGCTGCACTCTGACCAGGGAAGAAGTTTTGAATCGGCGGTGTTCCAAGAGATGTGCCAGATACTGGGTATCCGAAAAACTCGAACAACGGCTGTTCATCCCCAATCAGATGGCATGGTGGAGCGGTCCAAGCGAACCCTGGAAGAGCATTTGCGGAAGGTCGTGGACAAAACTCAGAAAGATTGGGACAGTGCATGAAACAACGGGTAAAACTCCTGCAAGGGTAATCTTCTGCAGTGAGCTCCGTTTGCCTAGTGACCTGAAGTTTGGAGTAACTGGCGATGCAAGGAGAATTGGGAAAGAGACGTCCAACATCCTGGAAGAGGAGTTAAGAGAAATACATGCTCTTGTGAGGCAGCGAACTCAAATTATGAGTGATAAAATGAAGGCCAGATATGATAAGGCAATGAACTCCGAGGGTTTCCAAGAGGGAGACTTAGTGTTGCTGTACAATCCACAACGGAAGAAAGGATTGTCCCCAAAACTACAATGCAACTGGGAAGGACCGTATAAGGTCGTCAAACGGCTGAATGACGTAGTGTATCGAATCCAGACCATTGGGAGACCAAGAAACAAGATAAGGGTGGTCCACTTGGAAAGGTTTGCAGCGTTTGGAACAGCAAGTGTGTCTGATCGGGACGATCAGACTTAGGTGGAGGGCAGTGTGACGAATACTGCGAAGCGAACAACGAGAAATAGGCAGAATGTTCGAGGAATGACGTAGAATGTTCCACAAAGAGAAACGTCAAGTTGGATGAACACTGCGAACAGCGAGAGAAAGGGAATGAGCGATAAACTTCAGAACGTTCTACACCTTTTCCAATAGTATTTCAGAAAAACACAAATGTAAAAAAGGCCAAATGTGTGTCTGAAAACCTCACATTATATTCAGAAAACCTCAATTGATTTTCAGAAAAGGCCAAATGTGTTTCAGAAAACCTCAAATTATATTCAGAAAAACTCAAATAAAATTCAGAAAAGGCCGAATGAATCTCAGAAAACCCCAAATGTATTTCAGAAAACCCCAAATGTATTTCAGAAACCCTCAAATGAAATTCAGAAAAGGCCAAATGTATTTCAGAAAAACTCAATTGAAATTCCGAAAAACGCAAACGAAATTCAGAAAAGGGCAAATGAAATTCAGAAATCATTTCCAGAACACTTTTATCAATGGACTTTTTATAATCACTCTTATGGTGTTTTCGGTTCAATAAAAAGGTTGCCTTCTTATCCCCCTCTTCTTAGTGTTTGTGCGTAGAGGGCAAAGAGTAGGTTGTATTTTTCGGTAGAAACGAAATCGGCATTAGAAAACATAATGACTTATTAATTCATATCCCGATTAACCCCTCACCCACTTTTTGTAATGGAGTAAAACAGGATAACACTTGTAAAAAAGCATATTTATTTAAACGAAATGTTTTAAATTCCAACAGACATATCCCGCAAGGCCAAAGCATACAAAAAAACACCGATGAGTGCGAGATAGCACGAGCGCAATCCGCAGTAGTAACGCTTTCTTTCGCTTGGCGAATTATTTCTTCCAAGTATTGCAGTCTCGTTTCTACTATTCCCGGTCCGTCGATAGAAGGAATGCCCATATGAGTTTTGACATAACTTTTTATTTTTGCCCAAATATTCTCAATCGGATTGAACATGGGCGAGTATGGATCCAAGCGCAAAAAGGTGGGCGAACCGCTACTGCCAAACTTGCTCAAGTCTAGTATGACAGGGTGCATTGTCGCACACCAATACCAGATCTGACATTGTGTTGCCCATGCTCGTCCACTTGTCTAAAGGTATTGGCCCAATGCACGCTTGCTTTGCTTGCTTGGCTTTGAGAACTGTCAAACAATTTTTAAAATCTACTAAAATGTATGAAAGTTGGCCTAGTGGCAGCTTTACTTCACTTGCTTGAAGCGCTTTAAAGTATCGATTAGCCGAAATCTCTATTTGACAGCGCGCTGTAGGCTTTTGACAACTCTTGACATTTAAATTTTTCGCGTCGATTTTGCTTGTGTGCAGTTTTTATCGCGTTCTTCATCAATTTTAGGTAAAATAATTTATATTAAACAATTATTTGTTGCTAACAACATTATTTTTTCAGATACCTTGCTTTTTATCGTTCCGGCCACCAGATTCGTTGGTTTTCATAAAGTTTCATTTGCCTGTGCCACTTCCACCCGTGTTTATAAGGCGTAATATTCAACTGGAGGTAAAAGAGTTTATATTAAACAATTATTTGTTGCTAACAACATTATTTTTTTCAGATACCTTGCTTTTTATCGTTCCAGCCACCAGATTCGTTGGTTTTCATAAAGTTTCATTTGCCTGTGCCACTTCCACCCGTGTTTATAAGGCGTAATATTCAACTGGAGGTAAAAGAGTTTATATTAAACAATTATTTGTTATTAATAATATTATTTGTTGCTAACAACAATATTTTTTACAGATACCTTACTTTTTTATCGTTCCGGCTGCTGTATTATCCGATTCTTGTGTGTTGGTTGGTATATCGGAAGCTTTAGTGCAAGATGTTCGAAGAAAAACTTATAGCAGAGATTGAAAAACACAACTGCTTGTGGGACAAACGACAGCTTAGTTACCGCGATCGGGTGAAGAAAGATTTGGCTTGGCGAAATGTAGCTGCTGCTGTGGGACATCCTGGTTAGTATAGAGTTTTTCAAACATATAGCAGTTTTGTAATAGGACGAACCAAATTATAACAAATTTGTGACGAATAATTGTGACGAATACTATATTTTTACTTTACAGAGGAAAACTGCCGAAAGCGATGGAAATCGTTAAGAGACCGATATGGAATAGAATTGAAGGTTGATCAACAACCTAACGGAAGTGCTGCGTCGTTTAGACGAGCTTGGCCATATTACGAAGCTATGTTGTTTTTGAAAGACACGGTCACGCCCAGACAGTAAGTGTACTTTACATTTGTACAACAAGTATTTATATTTTAAATTGTAATTTATATGTACATATTTTAAGGACAACAACAAACATCGTCTCCCAAACGCCAGAAGTTCTCGGACAAGAACCAGATATACTGGATACTTCCTTTGGATTCCAAATAGGCGAGAGTGGGAACATTATAATAGAAGAGCAAGAAACCACTGCCCCAACGCCGGCTAAGAGACAAAAGAAAAAAAACGATGAGAACGCCGCCTTTAACGATCTAGTCAACGAAGTAAGTCAGTTTGTGGATAGTCAAAAAAAAACACACAACAATATCTTGGGTGCGATTGGCGAAGTGTTTGAGAAGGTGCCAGAAGAGAGCCGCCTAGATTTTCAAATGGACGTACTTCAATACGTCTATGCTCAATATAAAAATTATAAAAATTGAATTTACGAAATTTAAAAATTTAAATGACATCCAGTTTGAATTCAATTTTGCGAACTTTATATGTAATCTAATTTAGTATGAAATCTGATTTTGATTTTGCGAATTAAATATGTAATCGAATTTAATATGCAATCTCACAGAAAATGCTTGCTATAATTTCATTGTTTCTAATCAAACACAATTGTACATTTTTTTAAGAAAATATTCAGGATATTATTCCAAACGCGTGGTTTTCGATGCAAGTTTACGAGGCTTACGCGGTTACGAGACATTTAAATAAATAACCTGGATATTTTTTTTATAAAAAAATGTACAATTGTGTTTGATTAGAAACAATGAAATTGTAGCAAGCATTTTCGGTGAGATTGCATATTAAATTCGATTACATATTAAATTAGATTACATATTAAGTTCGCAAAATTGAAATCAAACTGGATGTCATTTAAATTTTTAAATTTCCTAAATTCAATTTTTATAATTTTTACATTGAGCATGTTTCGTTGTGAAAATGCACTGAAATATGTAAATGCAAGATCCTATGGACAAGATCCTGAACAGCCCTATTATTTAAAATACTAAAAAGTAGACTGTTTGTAACAACTTTTGTTTTATAAATAGGCAATACTTAAGTACCTTAAAAAGAAACATATTACTTAAAAGACTAAGAAGTATATTGTTTGTAATTCACTTTTGGTTTATAAATAGGCAATACTTAAGTACCTTAAAAAGAAACATATTACTTAAAAGACTAAGAAGTATATTGTTTGTAATTCACTTTTGTTTTATAAATACGCCATATTTACAGTGGTCGAAAAAATTATAGTCGCACCATATTTGACAAGTTTTAAATTTTTTTTTAAAATTTAGTAAATTTTTCATAAAAATATAGTTAATTCTTTAACAAAGCCCGTGTAAAAAATTCCGTTTTATAAAAAAGTCAAAATTAAAAAATAATATGTTAAAACTTGTCAAATATAGTGGGGCTATAATTTGTTTGCCCACTGTATGTACCTTAAAAAGAAACAAAACAATTAAAAGACTGAAAGGTATATTGTTTGTAACCACTATACTGTTTAAAACGGTTTTAACTTAAAAGACTGAATGAAATATATGTTATGTTAACGCCATACTTACCTTGAACAAAAATTAATTTAAAAACCTGAAAGATGTGACGACATTTAAAACATTACCAATAAGTGCCCTCATACTGTGAGTTCAAATTTTTGTTTTCTATCTTAAATAATAAAAACAAAGCATATTCAGTGAGTAGTAATTATTTAAATTTTATTGTTAAAAAGATGTGTCTTCAGAGCATCCCTTAAATCATAATTATTTGAACTGGTGAGTGGCGCAGCCAAATGCAGCTTCACCAAAACCGGAACGATAAAAAAGCAAGGTATCTGTAAAAAATAATGTTCTTAGTAACAAATAATTGTTTAATAACATATATTTTAACTAAAATTCACAATTATACTTGCTGGCACAACAAAGAATGGCGGGTATATTTGCGCGCATTGAAAATCAGCTGACTACTATGACAGCGTTCAAAGCTACCATTAGGCCATAAAGCCTTCAAAGTAAAGCAAAGCAAACTAAAGTAAGCAAAGCAAGCAAAGCAAGCGTGCATTGGGCCAATACCTTAAGAGCTCTTTCACCCACTCACCCGCGCTCTCCTTCTTGAACGACCCGCGTCGTGTCTCCATGCACAACACACCGGAAAGCTATGCACATTTGTATCTTTAATTCAAAACTGTGTACTTAATTGGAAGATTATTTATGTAAAGTGTAAGAAAACAGTTTGGAAATATACAAGTGGATTTTTCTGAAATACATTTGTGTTTTTCTGAATTTCAATTGTGTTTTTCTGAAATACATTTGGGGTTGTCTGAAATACATTTTGCTTTTTCTGAATTTCATTTGAGTTTTTCTGAAATATATTTGGGATTTTTTGAAATACATTTGGGGTTTTCTGAAATTCATTTGGCCTTTTCTGATTTTCAGTTGAGGTTTTCTGAATATAATTTGAGGTTTTCTGAAACACCTTTGGCCTTTTCTGAAAATCAATTGAGGTTTTCTGAATATCATTTGAGGTTTTCTGAAACACATTTGGCATTTTCTGAAAATTAATTGAGATTTTCTGAAAATCAACACCGAATGGCCCGAAGTTGTAAAACTACGACCCGAATGAAACACTTCGTGAAAATCCAGGGTTGCGAAGTGGTATTTTGTTGGAAAATATAAAGGCCAGGATTTTGTGCAGCGCCGAATTTTAACAAAAGAGGGTTTTGTGTGCTCAAGACGAACAGAAAAGGGTTACTGTACTGTTTCGTTTTAAGCTTATTTTAATCTTAACGTATCTAATTAAATATTAAAAGGAGACAAAAATTAAAGCAAAAATTTAAAATATATGTACATATCTGAACATTTTAAATAAAATATATATTTTCACGAGAGACAAAGTAAATACAATGGGTTAACTTTAGGGGAAATATACTCATCAGATTGGGTCAGATAGCGCTTTTACGTTATAAGTAAAAATAATTCCTACTTAAATTTTATATAATTTTGGTGACGTATTTCTAAGCTGACCCCGAGATCTGTGAAATAATACATATTTACGTGCATATACATATTGTGTTGATTATGCTCCAAATCGCTAAATTCTTGCAGCAATCAGTACCATTGGAAATTTTCGGAAAGTAGAAATAAACTAAATTAAATTTATTCAATTATTAATAAAAGAAATTGGAGACAAACGTACAATTGGGACGATGTTTTCCGCATCCGCAAACGAATGTTTGCACCCAAATTTGACCGACCATTACCCGGAGCCCCTCAAAAGTACTCAACATCAAAGTATAGAATGTCACAATATGAATTATACACACATACAATAGTAATTGCTATGAATGGCTGCCGTATAAACTCAGGACACGCATTTGCTTGGAGACTCCGAAGCTTAAGGTGGTGATAAGTTCAGCCAGCGAATTCAATGGTCCATTACCCGGAGCTGCTCCAACATGATCAGTAGATTTTAGTGAGGCTCACATGCCACTGCCTCTGGATACTAGAGCTGTCAAACTATCGACGATACTATCGATAGTATCGATAGTCTGGGCACAGGAAATAACTATCGATAGTTCTGGTACTATCGCCACTATCGTTTCATTAATAGCGTATTCTCTTTCCTAGCACTTTTGACATTTGCACGTATTGGTTCAAAGAGAACAAAACTTGGCAGCATTATTTCATGAACGTACGAATAATAGGCCCGTCAGAATGGGTACTTGTACGTCAATAACGGAAAAGTATGCGCAGGAAGTGGCGTACGTAACGTAGAGATACGCCACAATGAGGGTGTTGCATCTGCAAACAAAAATCAGCTGTTCCTTATGGGAGTTTACACAAGTCAATTTTGCAGTAACAATAGCAAAATATTCACACTTTTTTTTACTAATATATTCACACTTCTCTTGATGTCTTCGTCACTATCTTTGACTTTTCGGAGACAGTTTATTGTCTACTCTACTGAAAAAATGTGACAATTAATACATATTCTCAATTGTCTTGCCTTGTGTAAACGCAGGGTTATACAACTGTCAGCAGTGACGGACTTACGTGCGTCAAAAGTTGAAGGCTCCGTTATGCATACTTGGCATTGCTTGAGAGTTGTCACATAAGGAATCTGTTAAATGAGCTTCGCGTGTAAGCGGTTACCCAACGCACAGCATAACATACGTAAAAGTCTGTTGGTTTTTGATTTCTACGTAAAAATGGTATAGCAGTGCATGCAATGCCAAGTATGCATAACAGAGCCTTTAGTGTTGGCCAACGTTCGTTGGGTCCGTCGACGCAAGGGTTACCAATCTGACGCTCTCTATGCAAACACACACAGTCTACTCAACTGTCAGTTTCATCCTTGAGCAGAACGTACGCAAAGTACCCATTCTGACGGGGCCATAAAGATCATCCAGGACGGAGTGCGAGAAAAAAGTATTTTTTTGCAGTGACGTCATTTTTTCGCCGCCATGTGAATGAAACGGAATGAAACCATGTGTGTGAATGAAACAACAAATACATGGTTGCCGTGCTGGGTGGAAATACCAGAAATTACATTGCCTCTTAAGAGCGTGTCAGACGTGGCAATGCAATATATTTCAAAAGACTGTCAAATTGAGAAATTTCAGAAAGCAGTTGCATGAGCAGTGGCACCTTACATGTAAGTGTCTATATGTCGAAAGAAATTTTTTTATTTCCGAAAGGCGAATTGCAGGGAAAATTTCTGAAATCGCTTTTAGACTTTTTACACGGCGAATGAATTTCTAGCAATATTTCTCGATACTAAAATGCAACCGTGAGCCGCTAAAACAAACAAATTTATAAAAGCAATATAACGAAAAATAAATGAATTTAGAAAAACTTATGAAATGGGTCGATACTATCGATAGTCACCCTTAAGACTATCGTAAAACATCGATGGACTTGACTATCGATATTTTGACAGCTCTACTGGATACATACTGCATATCGGAATATTGCAAAATAAATAGCAATTATCTCTTATAATTATAAGAAAAGTGTTTGTTTACAAAATTACCGGTGCCACTCTGCCATAGTACGGTTGTTGCTCCCTTTCATACCACAGTAAATTTGTATGCAACTCTGAATCAGCAAAATTCATGCTCCTTCTCATTATCAACCCTGATCAGATTTTACCCCGGGGAGTACTCAAAAAAGTTTATTACTGTATATATTATGTTGATAATCAACGGGATCCCTCAAACAGCTGGTGAGTGTTTGCCTGAACTCTTTGAAGGTTTGCATAAACTCCACCTCTCCGTGACGCTTTTCGGCTGCGGAATGCAAAAACTTATGGACAAAAAAATAGTAGTGTTTGTCCAATTGTTCTTAAGCTGTTCTCTTCGCCTGATCGTAATCAGCTCTTAAAATCTATGGCTGTGTTCTGCAAGACTAGAAAGAGATATCTTGCGCTCTCTGAC